GTTCCGTGCTCAATGCCGCCATGCGGGCTTTCAGCGCCTCCTTTTCGCTGCGAGGTGCGACGGCCGTTGCAGGCGCCGATGCAGTTGCGACAGCTGCATCGGCGCGAGGCCCGCCTGGCGGATCATTCGTGCTGCACACATCCGAGGCAGCCTGGCTCTCGGGAACGATGGAGTCGCTCATCGAAGGCAGGAGACAGACAGGGGATGTACTTTCAGAAGCCTATCTACTCGTGAGGGAGGTTGTCGCGGAGGCTGCTTGTCGCACGACGGAACACGACGGGACGCACGACGTGCCCGGGGCGTCGCTCTTCGGACGAGAGACTGCTTCCTGGACCACACGAGGCCAAGGAGCCGCCCGTCGCCGCCGCCGCGTCGCGCAGCTCGCAGCGCACGGTCTCGTTCGCTTCCTCTGGCGACACCGATCGCCCAGCGAGGCGCAAGCAGCCGGCCCGGCTGCTGCTTCACCTGGCCACGCTCGCCCTCGCGTGCAGCTTGCTACTCGGCGAATCGGCACAGCGCGCCAGCGGCATCGCCGAACTCCGGGCGGAGCTCGCCAAGATATTCTATCCGCCGCCGTGCGTGGAAGCGTGGCAATTCTGCGATGACCCTCGCTGCTTCGTTCTGCCCGAGTGTCGAATGGACGACGTACCGTCGCTCCGCGCGATGGTGGCGCACGCCGTCACGGCGCACGATAGGCTGAGGGAGGTGGCGCTTGGCGACATGCGAGCGGCAGGACCCGTGCAACTGCACGTCGTGAGCGTGGCGGGCGCATCCGGCGACACACCGCTCAACATATCCAGCAAGGCGTGCGGCACGTCGCCGGAAGAGTGCAAAGAGGCGGTGGGGCCGCTGTGGACGGATCGCACGCCCAAGGGCAACGCGGCGCTGCGAGCATGGCTCGACGCCCTCTCCTCCCTAACGCTGAGCATGCGACTAAACATCCACGAGCCGGTGACGAGATTAGCCGAGACACCCGAGATCACGGGCATCCACGAGCCGCAGACCTCGGGCCGCACCTCGGCCGCACCTCGGCCTCGCCTCGGCCGCACCTCGGCCTCGCCTCGGCCGCGGCTGCACCTCGGCTACACATGGCTGCACATCGGCTGCACATCGGCTGCATCCCTCGGCAGGTCATCGCCCCCGGCTCCACCTTCCTGTACTCGGACGTCTCCAAGCTTGACTGGCAAGTCGACCTCACCGCCGCACCCGGCGTGTCGTATTTAGATGGAGAGGCGAGATCACTAGGCTAGCAATACACAGCGACTGAGGACACAGGCGCGTGGCGGGCTGACGCACGGGCTGACGCACGGAAGGAGAGACATGGAAAGAGAGGCGGCCACACACATGGACTTGGAAGCAGGCCACGCGACACGAAACAAGACTCACCATCGGGCCGTCACACATCCTGTGAGGGTGTCAGGTGGCCGCAGTCTCGGGCGAGTCCACGAGCAGTCTCGGGCGAGTCCTCCAACATGCGGGCGCCAGCCTCCTCCCATAGGCGGCCATCCGGATGACTCTCAAGGGACACGTCCAACACGTCCATGACATGTCCGTGACATCCGAGACATGCCCCACAGGCGTGACGAAGTCGGGACTCATCCTCTCGCTCGCCCTGTACGTCGACTCGGACACGCCCAGACAGCTCCGCCAGATGTGGCCAAAGCTCGCTGCGTTTGCCCTGCTGACCGCGCGGGTGAGAGGGGGGGCTCCCTCCCCTCCCTCCGGCCCGCTCTTGTGGCGGCGGCAGCGGCGGCGGCGCCGCCGCCGCCGCCGCCGCCGCCGCCCTCCTCTTCTCGTCGCCACCTCGCTCTCATACATCGCTGTCCCCCGGCCTTCTCCCTCACTTTCGGCCCGCCGCCCGCCCAGGCGCTCGCCGGTGCCGCTTTCGCCGCCGCGACGCTGCTGCGTGCCGCCGCGTCGCTCGCGCGAGACACGCTCGCCCACCGCCGGACTCCGAGGCGCTCGGCTACTCGTCGGCTGCACCCCGGCCGCACCTCGGCTCCACTTCGGCTGCTCCTCGGCTGCTTTTAGGCTGCACTTCGGCTGCACCTCGGCTGCATCTCGCAATCCCGCTACGCACCACGCCATGCCTCGCCCAACCTCGCTCTGCCCCTCCGACCCCAATCGCAGGGAGCACGCGGTGGCTAGCGCGGCGGCGAGTGCGGGGCGCGTTGCGCAAGGCTGCTGCTCCGCCGCGGACCTCGTCGACCTGCTCGCTCAGTTGATGCTCTTTGTGGCCGCTTTCGCCGAGCTCGAGGGGCAGCTGCGGCAGCGGCCGTCGCGTTTCCCGCCGGCGGAGCCGTGGCGGGCGTGGTGCCCCGGGCGCGCCCTCGCCGCCGGCCTGGCTCTGGGCGTTGTTGTCCCTCTCGAGCTCGACCTAGGCCCGGGCGTGGTAGGCTCGGCCTCCTCTTCTGCTGGCTTGGCCTTTTCCGCCACATGCAGACCTCGAAGCGCCTCTCCTTCATGCTCAAGACACTCGAGATCGCGCTCGGCCCGCGACCCATCCTGCAGCCGCCGCCGGGTGCTCTTTCCAGCCTTCCCGTCTCAGCTTTCCCGCCCGCCACGCAGGCCCCGCCCTTTGGCTGCTCGTCACCGTCCTACCGATCTGGCTCGGCTTTGCGGCGGCGGGCACGCTCATGTTTGGAGACGCGCCCGCCTTTGCCGACCTGTGGACGAGCCTCGCCACGCTGTGCCGCAGCCTCGGCGAAGAGCTGCCGGTGAAGAGATGGCGCAGCATATTCAGCGCTTGCTCGCACATGCGGGGGAGACCGGAGCGGGAGCGCAGCACAGGGAGTCGCAAGCTGTCTATTGAGCAAGCGCGTGAATTAATCGTCCCGTGCGACGGTGTATCATTCACCTTATGCCACCGTTGAATATCCGCCGCCTCAGCGAGGATGTGAAACTCCCGAGCATTTTTTGGAGTGCAGTCGGTGACCCCTCAGTCCTCACAACCGGGGCCGGGGAGCTATGAATCGCAGGTAGGTAGGTAGAAAGGTGAAGAACAGCCAGGCTCGGACTGGACACCAACGCGGTATGGGTGGACGCTGGACAGATGATGACGACACGCACGAGCGACACACAGACACAAACAAGCTCACAAGACACACAGCCAGCTGGCTGCCACACACCCTGAGTTGGCGTACACATAACTCAAGGCCACATCCTCCCTGTCGCCCCCCCCAGCACTCCAAGGTGCCAAGAGAAACAAACAAGGGAACAACAAACAACAGACGACAGGAAGTGACATGTGAGGCTAGAGCAGCATGCTCCACCTCTAGCAATCTCTCCGGCCGGCGAGGCATGGGCGAGACCGTATGTGGGGTCTAGTGAGGTGTCTATGGACGCCCTCCTCATGGGCTAGCTGCCTGCGGCTAGCCCTAATCTCGCACTCACGGACAGTGACAATCAAATGGGTGAGTGTTTGCGAGCTGAGGCGCGTGTGCTAATTCTAGGCCGCACGTCGTGGCACTATGACGTAGGTAGACGTGCGACTGCAGCGCGCCCACCACAGTCTCGGTGGGGCGCGTGTTAGCGATAGAGTTGCGGGGAGAGCCATTCCCGACTTTTTGGAGGCGGCCCCCACGCCACGGGTGCCAGCCGTGC